CTTATTCAGAAATTTATGCGGTGTGAGAAATTTTGATGAGTCAAAAGTGTTCAGTTTTTTGTATATCAAAGAAAATTAACATGAAATATCTTCTTTTGTCAAAATAAATAAAATGCAACTGATTAATTATCTCTTACTTAATATGCATGATATGATAAATGTAGGAAATTGAATGATAACAAAATATTTTTTTTTTAAAAAATCGTTTAATGAATGTAGAAATTCCAAACATATTTCTTAATGCACAACAAATAAATATTATGATTATCATAACAATTAGTATATGACAAGTGCATTTGTGCAAATCAGATATGCCATAATTATATTATGTATTTTGTTAATATATAAAAATATTATCTGTATAATAACCATTAGTGAATAATATAAAACAGATATACCTTAATTAAATCAACTATTTCGTCAATACATAAACAAATGACATTATAGGTATAATAACCACCAGTGAATACGTAACATATTTAACATGAAGGAATTAGCGAAACAATCTTCATTCAAATAAATGACTTCCTCGTCAGATATGCTCCTTTCTCTGAAAAATAAGAGGAAATTTTTGTGTGCGTACTTGCGTATATTGAATGAAATTTTACGCATATACATTTGAATTGTATGTACATACACATTGTACGTACAGGAATACATGCCTACATTATATGTATACAGGTGCATGCACACGTATAAATAAAAATACATGCATACACACGCAGTATATAATTATATATCAGTGGTTACTTTAAATATCGTTGTATGAATAACATTGTTATTAGACAGTACATGCATATAGTACATGCACACGTGAGTACATTGTATGTCATATGGACGTAGAATGAATAAATTGTTTGTTGAAAACAAAAAGCAGACTACTCTGAAAATTTTTTGATCTAATGATCGGTTGTTTTTGTTGGTCTATGTCGTACTAACGATGAACAATGGGCTATTGGTGTAGAGTTGGGAAACATTCTTGAGGATGATCCGAAGACATGTCAACACAATTTTGATCCTCTGCAGAGGGGGTGGATCTCCTCCTTGACGACCTGCGCGTGAAGTCGAGCTCTTAATGGTGGAAAAGCTTAATTAGGATAGATACCGCACACCTTTGGTTCCTTTGTAGGTTGATCAGAGTGATCACCCATCCACACACTGACCGTGGCCAGTGATCCTTGACTTCGGTGTTCTACTGGGAACCATGTCTTAATGTTCACTCTACTGCGAGTTGATCTAATGATCGGATATTTACGTTTTTGAACTCAATCTTAAGGGTTAAAAGGATCTCAAATATGTTAATTAATTAATGCAAACCATATTTTAAGTTATGAAATTAGACAAAAATAAAACTTACTTTCTCGGAAAAACCTACCTTTTCTCGACGGATGCACATTTCTGACCCACAAAATATAGGGGGTAGCCGCACTCTGAGAAATATGGTCCTAATAATAGGTTGGTCAAAAGAGCCGTCCAACGGGTATTCGCAATCCGAAATAAATCGTCCCAATAGTGAGGTCTGAGTCCAAAGCTTAGACTCCTTAATGTTAATTTTACTTTTTGCATATTTCACCATGTCTTGAGAACTTTTAAAACGAATTAAAGTAATTTTGCATACAAATATAAATTTTGTTTATCCAAAGATAATTCTTTGCAAAATATAACTTTCAGTAAATATTTACTTTTTTTAAATTTTATTTTGTAATAGCCGAAATTTTTTAAAATTAAGTATACAATTTTTTATAACATTTTAAAGAAGGAAATTTGAAATGGAAAAATACAACATTTGAGTAAAATGGATCGAATAGTTCCTGAAAAATTGAATTTTGAAAAAGTCGCATTTTTAAGAGCTATTCGATTGATTTCGTTCAAATTTTGCGCTTTGCCATTTAAGATTGTTTAACTTAAATTCAAAATTTTTTAGACTGTCATTGAATAAAATAATAAAAAATGATTATTTTGACTAAAATTTATATTTTGCATGGAATTAGCTTTTGACAAACGAATTTTTTAATTGAGCGCGAAAATTTTTTCAATTCACTTAAGATGCTCTCAAGATGTGGTCTCATACGTAAAAAATATTAACATTAAGGGGTACAAATTTTGATCCGCTCTTTTGACTACAACTATTGGGATTATTTTTTTCCAGATTGCGGCCATCCCTATAATTTGAGAGACAAAAGCCCAAGTAGCACCATAAAACAGGTATGTTTGTTCAGAGAAAGCATACCTGCCAACTCTTCCGGATTTTCCGGAAGATTTTATTTTCATAATTAAAGTAGTAGCAATACTCAGGTTATTCCAATTAACTTTTTGAATTATAATGATAATTCTAAATGAGTTTGATCACCACTACATATAAATAATTATAATAAATATATAAAAGCATAATAATCCTTGCGCAAGCGAATTTCATAATATAAATATATTTTTGAGTCAGATTGTTTTTCGTTTATTGTTTTATTACCACTCTAAAAATCCATTCTCGGAAAAAGTGAAAGTTGGCAGGTATGAGAAAGTATGTTTTTGTGTCTGATTTCATAACTTTAAATATCGTGGGTACAAATGAATTAGCATATATGTCATCCTCTCGAACCTTTAAGATTGAGTCCTTGAATGTGAAGATACGATCATTAGATGAAAAGTTATTTAGAATGGACCGTTTATTTTATGCGTATCGTACATACGTATATATACTTTAAGTAGTACATTTAAGTATGCATAATCTTATGTACGTTAATTCACATATAAGTAGATACACACATACTTTATTGTTGTTATTGTAGTTAATTAACGTCGCACTAGAGCTGCAAGATGGGCTATTGGCGACGGTTTGGGAAACACCCCTGAGGATGATCCGAAGACATGCCATCACAATTTTGATCCTCTGCAGAGGACCGAACCAGAACCTTGACCAGGACCGAACCCCTGAGCACCGAGTATACAAACTTCTTTACCCATGGCGCTAACAACCATACCACGACTCACACGTTGCTTCCACGAATATAAAGCTTGAATAACTNACCTATTAGTTCAATTAAACTCATCTCCGGAGAATCAGAGTATCATAAAATGTTAAAAGAATTCCCAGATTTAACTAAATTGTCATTAAAACTAAAAGATTCTAACCATAGTACTGTGCATTATATAGAAACCACCGGACCGCCCGTTCATTGTAAGCCTAGGCGATTAAATCCTAGATTATACGAATCCGTTAAAAAAGAATTCCAATTCATGATGGAGCAGGGAATTTGTCGACCATCTAAGTCACCGTGGTCTTCTCCGCTCCACGTGGTTCCGAAAAGTTCCGGTAGTATTCGTGTTGTAGGAGATTATCGCAGATTAAATGCGTGTACAACTCCTGATCGTTACCCAATCCAGCACATACAGGACTTTTCAAACTCTCTCTATGGTGCGAAAATTTTCTCAAAACTCGATATTGTGAGAGCATATTTTCATATACCAGTGCACCCGGAACATGTACAGAAAACGGCGGTATGTACACCATTTGGCCTTTTTGAGTTTCCGTATCTGAACTTCGGTCTTTGTGGAGCAGCTCAAACGTTCCAAAGATTTATGAATGAAATTCTTGGTGATTTTTCCTTTTGCTACGTTTATCTCGACGATATTTTAATTTTTAGTGAAACTGAAGAAAAGCATAGAAAACACGTACGTTTGGTTTTTGATCGTTTGAACAAGTATGGATTAACTATACAAACTTCCAAATGTGTTTTCGGTGTACCTGAAATTTCATTTTTAGGACACCTTATTTCTCAAGATGGTGCAAAACCATTACCCGACAAAATCAAACCAATTTTAAATTATCCCCAACCTCAAACCGTTAATGAACTTCAAAGATTTCTAGGAATTTTAAATTTTTTCAGTAGATTTTTACCGAATATAGCACAAAACCAAATACATTTAACGGCGTATTTAAAAGGAGCCAAAAAGAAAGACAAAACGAAACTTGAATGGACAGATCAAGCTGATAATGATTTTAAGCAGTGTAAGGAATTAATTGCAAACGCTGTGCTGTTGTCGCACAGTAAACCGAATGCCAAATTAATTTTACATGTGGATGCGTCGGATTTCGCAATAAGAGGGGCTTTAGCGCAAATAGTTAACAATCATGCACAACCACTTGCTTTTTTCTCTCGAAAACTTTCCCCAACTGAAAAAATTTATAGCGCATACGATAGAGAATTATTGGCAGCTTATGCGGTAATCAAACATTTCAGACATATGCTTGAAGCGCGAGAATTTTCTCTTTTCACAGATCATAAGCCTCTAACTTTTGCATTCCGAAAGCGCTCTGATAATTGTTCTCCGCGACAGGCGAGACAATTAGATTACATATCTCAGTTTACGACCGATATTCATCATATAAAAGGATCAGATAATGTTTTGGCAGACGCACTATCGAGAATCGAAGCAATATCTATGCCCAACACAATCGACTATAACGAAATTGCACAGGCACAAACAACCGACGAGGAACTAAATGATTTATTGACAAATTCCGACGTCTTAAAATTTAAAGCAATAACCTTGCCTGATTGTAGTAAATCAATTTATTGTGATTTATCAACTGGCACAGCTCGGCCATACATTCCTGAAATATTTCGTAAAAAGGTTTTCACTACTTTGCATAATTTATCCCATCCTGGGATTCGCGCTTCCTCTAAATTGATGCGATCTAGATTTGTTTGGCCGTCCATACGTAAAGATTGTGCAGAATGGGCTAGACAATGTGTCCCATGACAAAGATCAAAAGTAACTCGCCACACAAAATCTGCAGTAAGTAATTTTTTAGACCAGTCACAAAGATTCGAGCATGTACACCTGGATCTTGTGGGTCCTCTTCCACCATCCAACGGGAATTACTATTGTTTAACTATGATAGACAGATTTACTCGGTGGCCAGAGGCTGTCCCTATTCCTGACATAACTGCACACACAGTTGCAAAGACCTTTTTTACTCATTGGATTTCCAGGTTTGGCTGTCCTGTCCGTGTTACTACTGACCAAGGCAGGCAGTTCGAAAGCTCACTTTTCGTGGCCCTGTCACAACTCCTAGGCATCAAACGCATCAGGACTTCTCCGTATCATCCTCAGGGAAATGGCTTAATCGAGGAGTTTCATCGTCCACTAAAGGCAGCCCTGAAGGCCTATAATACCGAGCAGTGGTCTTCAGCTCTACCTACATTGCTACTAGGTTTCCGTGCAGTCTTTAAAGAGGATCTAGGAGCCACAACTGCCGAATTGGTCTATGGAAGACCTCTCAGACTACCAGGCGAACTCTTCGTTCCGTCACCGACCAGTGCTTCCCAAAATCAACTTATCCTGGACTTGCAATCCCACTTCGAAAATGTGNAAAAAAAATTAAAAATTAATCCGTGACCAGGACCGAACCCCTGACTACCGTGGCTACAAACTTTTTTGCCCATGGCGCTAACAACCACACCACGACTCACCAGTCGCTTCCACGAATATAAAGCTTAAAGAACTTCCTTCCGGTTAATTAACAAAATCTATTTTGGCCCTTTATGTGCCCCCTAAATAGTGTATAAAAATTCCCTTTTGTACGATTGTTTGTTATATTAATATTGAGTTATAAAACGTGAAAATTCTATCATTAGATCAAAATCTATTTAGGGTGGTCTGTCTTTTTTTTTTGTACACTATATATCGAGTTCTGTGAACAAAATATTCTTAAATTCACTCCAAAGATATGATGAAAAAAACTGTAGGTCTAGGTTTTGAATCCACCCAGCTGTAGAGCGCGTATCAGCTTGTCAGGGAAATAAAGGCGGTAGGTGCACAATGCTGACTTTACTTTCACCATCACTCCTCGTTAGTCATAAATCATGGAGTCTTAATATCGATGACCCTCTAGCTCACAATAGACTGTTGGGCGAAATTTTTCTGCATATAAATATTTTAAATAAAATTCTCTTCGCGCGAGTATTTTATTGCTATACCATAATTAGGTTTGCAATAAGGTAAAATGAACGAGAGAAGGCCACACATTTTAAAGGAACCGCAACGCATAGGACCCCTGAAGCCAAATTCGAGAAGATAAATAAATATGTAAAAAAATATTGAAGAGTCAATTTTAAACTCCTGATTCAAATTTTATTTATTATTTTAATGAGATTGTTCGAATGAAAAGTTTCTGAAAAAGAACTATTGCTTATACTTGTGTCGAGAAACCTTTCAAAGAAAGTTTTCGTATTGTACTTTCGCAGACTTTAAAAAAACAATCCAAAATCATGGTCTTATGCTCGTTAATTTGCTTTCCTTTAAATGAGGCCCTTTGCAAAATATTTTCTTATTATTTACTAATATTTTCGCTGAAAAGGTTGATATTTGCTTTATTTCGTTCCCTTTGAAAAAGGTTTTCGCTTAATATTTCTGCTAACCTAATCATGACAGCAAACAAAAATGCAAAAAATAAGGTTTACAATTTGGTTGTTTTTTAACCTAAATAACAATATTTTTAAAAGAAGATTTAAAAATCATTTAGTTTTCCTTTAAGGAGGAAAGGTTGGAAATTGCTATATTTTTACGTCATTGAAAAAAGGTTTTAGCGCAAACCTTCTCGTGACAATGAAAATAAAGTTAAAACTCAAGGTTGTCGTAAGGTTACATGCTTTCCGGGATAGGCTATTTCCTTATCAACCTGAAGTATATATTTTTGCATCTGTGGAAGTACTTATTGAACAACCTAAAGTGTTTCAATTAACACTTGAGGTTATTCTGGATCTACCTCAAGTGCATCTTCAACAATTGTGAAAGTAAGATTTTACGAACATGAAGTGTTTTATGCTCTACCTATATTTCTACCTCAAGTATACATTTTTATGCATCTAGAGGTATTTTATATCAACTTAAGGTGTGTCATTTTACTCATCAAGTTATTATAGATCAACCTCGAGGGAATTTTTTGACCGCTAGATAGGATGTTTTTTATGAACGTGAGGTGTTCGTTGTTTTATTTTAGGTCATTATTTTTCAACCTCAAGTGTGGTATAGCTGTTAAGGTATTTATTTATCTACCTAAGGTGTGCCATTTTACTCTTTCGGTTATTATAAATCAACTTCAAGAGTATTTCTTGATTAATTTGGAATGGTTGTTTCTTATTAACGTGAGGTGTTGCATGTTCTACCTTAACTTAATTAACCTTTAGTACTTTCCCGCGCTTTTCCAATGGAACCATATTTTGTCCCTTCATGGGTCCCCTAATTTGTCAATAATTATTTCCTTTGGCACGGTAGTGTAATATATTATAATAAAATATCTGGTTCACATTGAAAATTATAAATTAATATTAAGTGGAGATATGGGGTGATTTATCTGCATAGTATATGAGCTCGAATTTTATGCTATTATTCGGTCTTATAAAAAATAATACTTTAAGGAAAACAATATTTTATTTACCTTACAAAATCGCAAAATGAATTTAAAAAATATTTATTTTTATGAAATATAACTTTAAAATATTGACCATTAAAATGGGGCTTAAGCCCTGGAAACTCGGTTCAACCGATTTGATACTTCCTATCACGTAACAAAAATGGTTACACCTCACCCAGCTTCAGAACTTATATTGAGCTTTAAGTACTTTCCCGAGCTTTTTCAATGGAACTGCGGTTGAGGGTCAATATTTCAAAAATTATATTTAATAATTTTTTTTCAATATTGTAACGTAAAAAATATATTCCTTTCTCTTAAATCACTATTTTTCTATTATAATTTAAGTGTATACAAGTGCATATAAATGCGAATAAAAGCTTACAAATGGAGAAATCGTAGCTCATATACTATGCATATAAATGACGCCATATCTCCCTTTAATATTAACCCATAATTTTCAAACTCTGCCAGATATCATATTATAAAGTATTATACTACCGTACCAAAGGAAATAATTATAGACAAATTTGGGAGACCAGGAGAGGGCAAAATATGATCCCATTGGAAAAGTGCGGGAAAGTAGTTGAAGGCTAATATAAGCGGCAAAACCGTGTTTGGAGATGCCAGTAGTGTTACGGGATAGGAAACATTAAATTAGTTGACCCAAGGGTCCATGGTTTGAACTCTGTTAAGGGTTAATATTTTAAAAATTACATTTCGTAATTTTTTTTTTAATATTATAACATAAATAAAATACTCCTTTTCCTTAAATTATTATTTTTATTATTTATAAGAAAGTATAGTAATAGCTTAAAAAGGGAAAAATTGCTGCTCCTATACTGTAAATATAAATGGCCCCATATCTTCTTTTAATATTCATCTATAATTTTGAAATTGACCAGATATCACATTATAATATACTACACTACTGTACCAAAGGTAATAATTATGGAAAAATTAGGGGGCCCACTGGGGCTCCCCTCGGGTTCGAGCCCCCTACCCTTGGGTTTACTAATTACTTACTTCCTATCATGTAACACTAAATGCCACCCCACTCACGGATTTACCATTTATATTAAACTTTAGGTACTTCCCCACGCTTTTCCAATGGAATCACATTTTGCCTATTCGTTGTGCTCCTTAATTTGTCTTTAATTATTTCCTTTGGTACCGTACCATAATATATAATACCAAAATATTTGGTCGAGTTTTAAAATTTTATTATTATATTTATAAGTACAATATTTATATTTATATTTATAAGGCAATTAATAAGTACTGTATATGTGTAACAATTTTTCCATTTTTATGCTATTATTAGCTCTTAAAAAATAATAATTTAAAAAAATAATATTCTATTTAGATAACAATATTGTAAAATTAAAAAAAAAGCATTTATTTTCATGAAATATAATTTTATAATATTGAACAATAACGGGGTTTGAACCCCGGACCCTCGGGTCTAGAGATTCGCGGCTTCCTATAACGTAACACTAATGACACGTCAAGCACGGTTTTGCAACTTCTAGTAAGTCCTTTACCGAGCATTTTCAATGGAACCATATTTTGTCTCCTCGGGAGCCCCTTAATTTGTCTATAATTATCTTGCTTGGCTCAATAATATAGTATATTATGATATAATATCAGGTTGAGATTGAAAATTATGAGTCAATATCAAAGGGAGATATTGGGTTATTTATATACATAGTATATGAGCTACAGTTTCACCATTTTTTAACTATTATTCGGTATTGTTAAAAAGAAAAATAATAATTTAAGTAGTAGTTGTTGTAGTTCATTTACGTAGCACTAGAGCTGCACAATGGGCTATTGGCGACGGTCTGGGAAACATCCCTGAGGATGATCCGAAGATATGCCATCACAATTTTGATCCTCTGCAGAGGAGATGGCACCCCCGCTTTGGTAGCCCAAAGACCTGCGCGCGAAGTCGAGCACTTTACGGTAGAACAGTTTAACGAGAACCAATACCGCACATCCTTGAACCCTACGCAAACTGATTCAAGTGGTCACCCACCCGCACACTGACCGCAGCCAGTGATGCTTGACTTCGGTGATCGGTTGGGAACTGTGTCTTAACGATCAGTCCACTGCGAGATTAGTAATTTAAGGAAAATAATTATTTTATTTACGTTACAATATTGAAAAACAAATATGAAATTTAATTTTTAAAATAGCGATCCTCAACCGGGTTTGACCCTTGGTCTACTAATTTGTTGCTTTTTATCACGTAACACAAATGGCCAAGTCACACAAAACTGTGCTACTTATACTAAACTTTAAGTACTTTCCAGCATTTTTTCAATGGAACCATATTTTTGCCCCCTCTTGGGCCCCCGAATTTGTCTATAGTTAGTTCTTTTGGTACAATATAAAATATATTATAATATAATATGTGGTCGAGTTTGAAAATTATAGGTTAATATTAAAGAGAGATAGGGGCCATTTATATAAACAGTATATAAGCGACAATTTCTCAATTTTTATGCTATTATTCGTTCTTAAAAAAAAAAGAAAAATAATAATTTAGGAAAATAAGATTTTATTTGCATTACAAATAAAAATAAAAAACATTTATTCTTATGCAATATAATTTTGCAATATTGCGCATTAGCGGAATTTGAACACCGGACGCTCGGATTTAGCGATTCGCTATTTCCTATCATGTAGCACTAATGGCATGTCAAAAACGGCTTTGTCACTTTTATTGACCTTTAAGTACTTTTCCGTGCTTTCCCAATGGAACCATATTTTCTCCCTTCTTGGGTCCCCTAATTTGTCTACAATTATTTCCTTTGGTACAGTATTATAGTAAATAAATATATATAATTGAAAATTATTGGGAATATCTCTCGTTAATTGAAAATTATAGGTTAATATTAAGGGGAGATAGATTTTTAAAAAAAATATATTTCAAACATAATTTAAACTATTTATTAATTTATTTCGTGTCATGCATTTTGAATTTTTTTAAATATTATTATTTGTAAATTTTATGGCACTATATTATATTATAATAAATATTATAGGTCAATATTAAAGGAAGAGCCGGCCAGGTGGCAGAGCGGGTAGCGCGCCTGACTGCGAAGCCAATGGCTGCGGGTTCGAATCCTGCTCTGAGCGTCGATGTTTCTCGCTCTATGTGTTGTCCTCTGTTGTGTGAATGTGGCCCATCCTATAAGCGGTTTTGCGGCAGTGTAGCGTGGGTAATGTTGCTCGCCTCCGTGACTCTGGTTCACAGGTGCCCACTGGGTAACGTGAAATGAGTAACAATTCCAGCATCTTCTAAGGCGAAAGAATAATGTTCAGTGCCTGCCATTGAAAAAAAATATATTAAAGGGAGATTAAGGACCATATATGTATGCAGGATATAAGAAAGATTTTCTTACTTTTAACTCTATTATAAGCTACTCTATTATATTGTATAAGAAGCAATTTCTTTATTTTAAAGATTTTATTATATTACGCATTAGAAAAGGAAAAATTTATAATATTTAGTAAGGGAATATTTGGATGTTTTCTATCACTTACCCCTAACGGTCTGACTTGGCTGTCCGACTTAAGACAAACTTTTTGAAGACTTGAAAATTATTAATGATTCATCAGAAAACTTATTGTATGAAAAAAATAGCAATAAAAGTTGCAATATAGTATTATTTCTTAAATAAATTTAAAACAATAAAAAAATATCATCTGAATATAAGATATACTTTGGAGTAAAAGGGAAGGAAATGGATGGTAGAAGAATTTGCTAGTATAATTTTATTTACTATTTCTGTTTTGCTAAGTAAATAATGCATGGAATGACGTTATAAAACTACTGGTCTATGTTTTACTGTTTCACAGTAATACAGAAAAATAATCAAAATTATATCGCCGAATTATTCTACTACCAGCCAAATCTTCCTCTTGCTCACTCCAAAAAATGAAAAGCGATGCAAGATAATACCAGAAAATACAAAATACAATATTATATAGCGTTAAAGCTAATGCAAAATAATATTACGGCGAACGCTAGATAATATTAGTTCGCATGGAATCTAATATTATATAATGCAGAGCAAATAGTGACCTCTAGTATCTTTCTAATATTAGAAGTTGTGCAAGATAGCGTCAGATTTTACCGGTTTTCTGATGTTATCTAATATTAGGTGCCACTTGGGGTAACTTGGAAATATGGGCAGTTAAGATCTTAACCGCCATAAGGAAGTACTCCTATGGGTTGCTAGTTTAAGGTCCAAGGAAGCGTTGAAGGTTCGAGCCTTCAGTGCTTCAGAGCCTTCTTTGTGTAGAAAAACTGTAAAGTAATAATAAGGTTTATTTTTAAAAACTTAAACATTCATTCTCCTTTCTAAGAAATATGTAGGAAAATGTTATTGAAATCTGACAATTCATTAACATTAAAAGCTACAAAAAAATTTAATATTGGCAATCGAAATGGGCTATATTTGGCGTAGAGCAGAACTCTGTATCTATGGTAATACTTCGCATTCTTTTACCATTAGCGTGTGGAGAGTCTTTGATGAAGGAAGTCCGTTAGTTTCTGTCCTGATTTTCAAATAGATTAAAATATTAAGTTAGGAAGCTATATGGAGCTGAAAACTACATTAAACATAGTTCTAAAGGAAAGCATCATGGAAATTTAAAAAATATTTTAACAATTTATTTCGAAAAATATAAAGAAAATGATAAATATTGTTGTACATTCCTATATAACTGAAAAGAGGGGAAGAGAAAAGGGAAAAGAGCAAAAGGCATGGAACCGGTCTTCTCCCTAGATGGCGTATTTGAGAGTTGCGCTGAAAGAAAATGATTCTCCCAAGCGTTACCTATTGGTTATTTTAAACATGAACTACAGAAGACATCGAATGGCTCACCAGGTAGTTTTCATTGCAGATATGCGCAAAAATTATTTATATTTCAAAATTGGCATCGGAAAATATGACATTTGGGGAAATGGGTGTATGGATTGTGTAATTGTGTTACAATTATTTTCAAAATATTGACAAGTTAGTTTCTATTTAAAACCGTTTATTCATGTATTTCTACATTTCTTTTAAAAAATAAACTTTTCTCTGAAAATTCCTCTACTTGGTTTATGCTGTTCTTAATTATTTAAGTTAATAACACCATATTGTACTGAGGAGTTCTATCAAAATATAAGTTGTTTTTAACACTATGAAATCTGCTACTGATTTTGTGAACGTTGCAAAATGTCAAACTGGATAGTTTTAGTTCAGTTGATTGCCAAATATTCAATTTTGAAATATATTTATTAGTTGTATATTTAATAAGAACATGTACATCTCTTTCCATCATTCATTTGTTTACTTGTTTCAATTTTGCATTGTTTAGTAATTACTATATCCAGTGAAAATTTACATTATTAATTCTTGACCAATAGATATTTTTTTCCCCATTTTTATTAATTTAATGAAATGAGTAATTCTACTGATATATTTTGTTTTCATAAGGAGTTTTAAGCTAAGTTTTTTGTTGAAATTAAATCTTGTTATTATTTCTAAAGTTTTTAGTTATTTAATTGATGAATTTAGCTATAGTTTTTTTAAACCGAATTTGGCTCTATAATATGCTAGATTTAGCTCAAGCGTATTTTGTTATCCTATTCAATTCTACTAAAGCAATATGCAGGGTTCCAAAGTTCAGCAACTAAACTTTCTACTTGCTCAAGATCCTCAGGCATTTTAATAATTCTTTTATTTGAACTGTTATAAAGAAAAAACCTGTTATAAAATACAGATATCTAATCTTGTAAGTGTGAATCAAAGTTTGTTTGAAGCATTAACAACTGTTTAAAACTTTGAGTGCTGAATTAAAAAAACTTGTAAGCTGGGCTAAATATTAATTTTGTTCTCAAGCCTCTAATATTTCACTCCGACCACTATAAAATAATTGAGAGTGGTCAGCAATCGATGTTAACTTATGTTTGGCTGTGTTAGTTAACTTATGTTTGGCTGTTTTAATTAACTTATGTTAGGATGTTTTTATGATTTCAACTTTATATTTTGGTCACAAAATATATTCTTTCATAATCTAATAATTGACATTACATTTTTTCCATGTTGTAATTATCGTTTTATGCCTACTCTATTTACTTTTAAAAAAATTAACCTAATAGAGGCTTTTAATAGATCAGTGATAATTTATATGATTATTAATCTTTTCTGGTTATAAGCCCTTTGGACAAACTAACTAAATTTTCTTAATTTTCACCTCTGTAATGAGAGTTATGTGAAAAGTAATTTAATAGCATATTTTTTTTTTAAACTAGGAGCCATATCTTATAATTATTTTGTTTTTCATGCTTATTTCATTATTTTTTCCTTAACTGATAGTTAAAAAAGTTTTTATGAAATGGTTTAAATAGTAATTATAGTTCTTGAGATAAAGTAAGGAATATAGTGCAAGGTACTACACTGCAGAATTATTACAACTTATGCTGAATTTTGTGGTAATAAATCTTTTAAAACAATTTTTTATTTGACGATTGTCTTATATATATCTCAATACTTTTCTGATAGACTGAAATATTGAATTCTATCTCTCTAAGATGAATAATTGATATTAGTAGTTATTTTGCATTTGGTTTTAGAATTAGCAAAAATAATTTTTTTTTTGCAAAATTAACTCTTAATATTTAGTGTAATTCTGAAGCCAATTTTTAATAATTTTTTTTAACAAGCCATTTTTTATTAAAAAATATAGAAACGAAATAAAATTTAACAAAATTTCATTGAAGTTAAATTATAAGTTCCTAAGTGTATTGAACTGCTAACTCAGATTAATTTTACGAAAAAATTATTTAATGGAAACTAAATATTTTTTGAAAGTTTAACTTTTTGTGGAACACTCAGCTTACCCAAGATAATTAGGCATTGAAAATATTTTTATTCGAGTTTATAATTAATTTATTTTAAGTCCTATAATGGTGTTTTGATGTAAAAACCTTTTTTTTTGCCCTGACAAATGTCAAAAATTGGTTTAGTTATCATGATTTGTCCATCAGAAAATGTTTGAAAAGGCAAACCACAAATGAATGAGATTGAAAAGTAGTTTAGTAACATAAATTAGTAAAAATAAATAATTATATTTTATGTATTAAACTTTTGTTTCATTATTTTAAAATTCTTCATATTTCTCAGAACCTATTTTGTTTGAAAAGATAAAAATAATAATTGTTAAAATTTATTCTCTTGCCAAATTTTATTATACTTTTTCTCAAATACTAAATGAGATATGCAGGGATGAGATTCTTCCGCGGATTCGCGGATTTCCGCTTTTTTTCAGATTTTTCCATTTTTCCCGCTAATTTCCGCTGAAATTTTTTTTTGCACAGGTTAAAATATTTAATGAGGAATTTAATTCTCCGCGGAGGGAAATTATTGAAGTCCCTTTTCTCTAAAAAGTCCCTCTGAAGTTACTCTAAAAATCTTTTTCTTGGGATAAGACTGGTTGACCGTTATACAGGGATGAGATTTTTTTTGTCTCTCGAATTTCAGCCTTCTTATCAAAAACTCCGATTCTCTAAAAGTTCAGTTTTTTCTAATAAATATCCCGTTTTTTTTTAAAATTCAGTCACTGAAGTAAAATAATTATATTTATTTACAATTTTCAAAGATAAACAGAAAATTCAATCTACGCCCTAGCTGCTAACCCTTCCGCATTTTTACTTATTTTAGCTATTTTCTCCGATTTCACGCACAGAAAATAAGATTTTCCGTATTTTTTATCCGTCGGCTGGATAGCTCGTATTTTCGTAATTCAGATNATATATATATATATATATATATTCTTCTTTTTTTGGATTTCCTCTTTTTTACTTTCTGACTACTCTCATCCCTGGATATGATACTCGACTCTAAGACACACAATTTCAATTAGTCCTCTTTGAAATTAATTGGGGAACTATGCATTTTGTGAGAACATAAAGCAAATACTTCCACATGATTAATCTTAAAATAGCAATAGAAAAATATTGCGTTATAATGTGATGTGTCTTTTGAAGTCATTGATAACACTAGATGTTAATTTAAATGGTATAGTGTCAGAGAAGGAAATATGAAGTTAGCATGGTAGATAAACGGGCAAACGAAGAGCATATTTTTTTTAAGTGTTCAGCTTGTTTTCTAAAGATATTTAAAACTTTTCTCTTGTAATTTGACTGATGGTCACCCGTCCCACATGTTTTGTGTAAAACGTAAGTAATTAAACTTGTGAAAAGTAGATATGGTCAGATGCTGTTTTTTTTTTGTTTTTTTTACTTTTTGTATTAACACCAGATTTTATGTAATGTTTGTTTTAATTATAAAGTAATGCATTTTGATCCAAAGAATGATATTAGTGAAAGGCTAGTAAAGTAATTTTTAACTTGTTATAAACAGAAAATTTTTGATCTTTAATATTTACATTTTTACTGTGATTCCTATGGAAGCTTATGGTAATTTTCGTCTTCTCATACCTATTACTTTGTGCTTTTAAAGTATTTATTTTTATTTAGTGCTCAGATTATAAAGTACCTGAGACAAATTTTGATTCACTTATATTTCTAAATAATCTAAGTTGATGTTTGTTTTTAGAAGAAATGTTAAAGGCTGCTTGATGTGAGAGCTTTTACGATGTCCGGATGGGCTCAAAGAATGCACCGCGGAGCTGCTACTTTGAGCAACGTTGTGACCTCGTGTGGTCATACAACTGTTCCTTATCCTACTCGAATGGAAAAGTAAGATAATGATAAAATAAATTAATTATTTGATATTTAATTTTTATAATTCTATGTCCTAAATTTCTGTATTATCAACATTGTTTTACTATTTTTAATTCTTCATGGCTTTATTTATTTTTTATAAATATTACAGTAATTTTTTTATTAACAAGTTTTTATACTAAACACAAACAACAAATAATAATAAGAAAGTCAGCCAATTTTATTAATATCTTCTTAGCCGTTTAACTATCAAGAGGAATTAGATAAAAATTCCTTTGAACATTGAGGGCATTCACTAATTCTATTTGAGCATGTATTTCTCACTTTTACATCCCAGCCAAGCAGTAAGGGCACGTATATAGCTAAGCAGTGAAGGCCTTTGAACATCAAGGGCATGTAAAAATTCCAATTTAGTATGTATTTTTCACCTTTACATGCCCAGCCTAGCTTGTAAATATTTAATTAGAAAGGCCCTAAAATGCTGTTTAAGTTACCCCATAAAATTTCATTCTTAATAAGAATTCTTAAAACACAGTGCGCTTGTTTCTTTTTTTTTTCTTCCTACTACTATTTTTTATTTTTATCAATAAATTTATCTAAATCACTGTGCATAAAAAAATAAGTTAAAAGTGAAATGTCGATGCAAAAGTTCGAGTAATATCGTTATAACAATATGTATTTGATATTTGGTTTTAAAAATTTTAATGCCGTTTGACATTGTCAGAGCGTATAATTTTTATAAATGTGAAATTAGTTAAAATTCTTACTTTAACCAAATAATTACATTAATATCTTTTTATTAATATGCTTTCGAAACAAATATTTGACCTTTTATTTTGTAGTCTAACATGCTTGCATAGCCATTTTTAGAGTTCTGCTTGTTAGTGTAATATAAGCATTTGTTAATAAAGTGTTATATATATATATTCATTTCTTCCCTCTTGTTTAGAGTAAAGTTTGGTGTTCTTTTTGACCAAGTTTGTAAACATGATATACCTGGACCATTACTGGTATGTACAATTGTGTTATCCTTTCATATTTTCAAACATAGTGTGAAAATATGAATCTATTCTGATTTATTCTTAACTTTTGCTTTAGATATTAATTCTTAAACTCAATAAAGAAGGGCCCTATAAGAAAGATGTATTTCGAGCACCTGGCCACCAGGGTAACATGAAAAAGCTGATCCATTTTCTACAGCATGGTCGTCTAGTCAATATAGAAAATTTCAGTGTGTATACAATAGCATCTGTTTTAAAAGTATGTTTTTTAATTTCCAACAAATTGTAACTTTTTAAGTATTTAATTATTAGTTGCTTTTTTAATAGTGTAATCTTTTTTTAGTAAGTTTTTATTCGATTTAATGTTTCTTTCGATCAATTATCATTTTTGCTGGATTTTTTTAAAGTTTTTAACTTTTTATTTATATACTTTTTTAAAAATATTTCAAGAATTGGTTATATAGCATTACAGTGGTTTGCTGCAGAAGTTTGTGACTTAGTTGACAAAATAAACCAAACAGTATCAGTAAAATTACAGAGAATTCTGCCAAACTGTTAAGATTTCAAATTTAAAAAAATCTTTTGTGTTTTCCTATATTAACGGCGGAGGTAGAACTAAGACTTTTAAGCCTTTGGTTTTAAAATTTGCCAATATATATATATAAAGATGATAAAATTAAAAATGAATGCAGTCCTACAGCTAATTTTTCGTGTATTTCTGTATTTATGAAGTCTAATTTTGAAACGTCAAATATTTTAAGGCTTCAACTGCTTGATAATAAAATGAGGGTCTGTTTTTCTGTCTCCTTTCTTTTTTGTGATTTTTATTTGTTGAAAATTTAGAAATAATTCATAGGAAGTTCAGTAAATTTGTGGAAATTAAATATATTTAAAAGTCAGCATAAACGTGCTCATAATTATATTGAAGAATATATCTTACGGATGAGTTAAATTATTTTTAAAAAATAATATTGTTACTTTTTATAGCTACAAAAGCAATTTAGACTTACAATTTTACAATTTAAAAATTAAATCCTATCTTTAAAATTATATTTATTTTAGCATGTATTTAATCCTAACAGCCCTAAATAATTATTTCTATGCAAAATTTTCTACTGGTGTTAATGAGAAGAAGAAAAAAAATTCTTTTTTATCAAAAAACATAAGTGAAAAATTTTGAACATAATTGAAAAAAAAAATCTTAGAGTAGTTAGTAAATAGTTATGTCAAAACCTGTAACAATAACTGCCTAAGCAATCCACATAAGTATACATGATATTGTAGTAAATCTAGCATGTCAAAAAATTATTCTCAGAAATTTCTAGTTGTAATATCAAACAGAAAATATCAGTATTTTAAAAACAATCAATAACTGTAACAAATAGTAAAAAATTGTTGGAAAATTAGATAGATTTCTGAGGAAATTGGTGCTAATAGATCAGTGTTTTGTGAAGGTATCATTTGTCTTGCAGCTGAATTTGTGAGTATTTATTGAATTGTGATTTTGTGAAGGTGCCACTAATTACTAGTAAACTTTTCTCTAACAAACCATTTTTTAAATTCTAAAGTTCTCAAAATATTAGTGATTTTATATGAGGATGAGCACTGTATTTTTTCAAATTTTCTGCATAATGCTAAGAAGTTTCAGCACTGAAGATTGATACTTTTAACTATTTCTATCAACGTTTATGTTGCTTTCTAATTTCAGTTCTGTAGTTAGTTTTCAAGTAAATTTATCATAATGTGCAATTTTGTTTTTTACATTAAAAAATCTGCATTTTTATTTTAATATTGTAATAATTTTAGTTAATAAATTTGTTTTAATTAGTTTTAATTAGTTTACATTTGCTGATGAAACTTCCTGTTTTAAATTACTTATTTGTTTACATAGAAATTCTTAAGAAAACTTCCTGGAGGTATTTTTGGCCCTGAAAATGAAGAAGCCTTATTCGATATAATTAATATTGATAATTTAGAAGAAAAAAGAGATAGAATTCACAGGTGATATCTTTATTTCTTTCTTTTAAAATTTTTCCTTAATTTTCAACCTACGATTTTTTTTTACTTTTATCTGTGCATTTGATTTGAATGTATCCTAGTTTCAAATGTATTTTAATTAATAATAAATAATGCAAAGTATTGCTATTGATTAGTTAATTTAAAAAATTTTTTTAAAATGTATAATAAGGAAAAATATAGCGCGCTTAACTAATGATCGTTGTAACTGACAAACTTTCCCTTAAAGATTTATTTAAATGATTCTGAGCTTTATAAATTTTACTGCTGTCCTTGTATCAATTCTTGTGCAACTGCTCATTCAATCCAAACCAATCCTAAAATTTTCAACATGTAAAAAATAACTTTTTTTAAAGTTTGAATTGATGTTTTTTTAGTAAATTTAAAAATAAAATTATTAGTTTTATTTTGTTTTGTTTAACTGAATTATCTTAGAATCTTAAATATTGTAAGTTTTTAAAAGCATTGATTTATTGTCAGATTTTTCTAGAAAGTATAACTTACCTTTATTAAAGTGAAAGTTTGTACAGTTACGCAATAATTGTATAACTAGTAGTGGAGTGGGCATAATCGTATCACAGTATTTGTGCCATTTAAGTTAAATTATATATAAATTGCACATAAAAAATATTAATTGTAATATAATCTTAAATATCTTTATAATATATTTTCCTATTTGACAAAGAAACAAAAAGATAATCTCAAAACATGCATTCTGATTGTAAATATAAATACTACGCAGGTTATAGATACTTTCCATGCATATATCTGTCATTCATAAATTGTTGTTCCATTTATTTTGTATTATCTTGTAAACTCTTTGAATTCTTTTTTTTTATTATTAAGCATTGGTGTAGTAAAAATTAATAATTGTTGTAAAAATAAGGATGATAAATGTTGAATTTTATTTGTTTTAGAGATTTTATACTTTTTTTTCTCACAACTCTATAACTCTTGAAAACGAATCCTAATTTTGCAAATTATTGCTTATATGCTTTTGATAATTTATAAATATAAGTGGTATTTTTTCCCAGGCTGATTACCTCTCTTCCTGTTGTTGCTCAACATTTGTTAGTGCTACTGTTTGGCACTTTTAGAGCTATATCTAACTGTGCTCAGAAAGCACAAACTGGCATGACATCTGAAGCACTTGGAGTTAGTGTAGCCCCAAGCTTCTTCCAATCTTGTGTCAGTGATGGCAAAATGGCTAGAATGGAAGATGTCGTGAGATTTAAAGTGAGTACTTTCTTTCTTTCCACGTTTAGAAATCATTCTATGTAAAGCTTTCTATTATTAATCTATATATTTAAAAAAAAATAAAAATTTGGTCATCTGATGACTTTTGGTCTTATTCATCTGATTATGATGCATGAGGGTTTAACTAATGTTCAGTTTTATAAAAAAAGACTGAGACTATTTCTTTCATTTGAGTACCGGGTTTTCTTTGTTCTTTTTAATTGTGGAGAAATAATTAGTAATCTGTAAAAAAAAAATTTCCTTGAAATTTCAAAAGTGGTTTCAGTGTTTGAAGCAAAATACTCATTTATTATGGTTACTCATTTAGTACTCATTTATTACAGATTTTATTCATTTATATACTGGGTAACTCATAATTGTTTATAGTGTAATTAAGTATATAATCTAATTTCTAAAACTCAGTGGCGCGACAGCCCATAGAGGGCCAAGGCCTACTGTGCCCATCTCAGTTTTCTTGGGCTGTGGGATGCAGAAGCAGATGTTCCAGTCAGATGGTCAGCTGAACGCGGAACCCTCAGTGTTTAGTTCCCAAGCATGCTTACTACTCATTTATCGACCCACTGAAGAGATGAAAGGCTGAGTCAACCTTGCCCAGCCCGAGGATCGAACCAGAGACCTGTGGCAGGAGAGTGCATAGCGCTACCGCTAAGTATATAATCAGCAGAAGGAAGAAAAAAAATCTCTAATTTACTAACTTTTGTTTTAATGTTCAGATATTCCATCACAATAATAATAGTTTAAACTTATGACGATCATCATTACTTACAAAAGATTATCATTAAGGATGACTCTCAAATTGCTTCCATCATCATCATCATCATAGTTGGCAAGATAGCCCAATGTGAGCCAATGCCTTCCTCTGAGGATTTCTCCATGACGACTTCTGATTCACCTTTGATCTCCAATTCTTTTCATTAATTGCGAAAAAATCAGACTCCACTGAGTCAGCCCCTTCACTGATATGAGAAACCAAATATAAGATCTGTTTTTTAAAAAATTGCTAGTTTTTTAGCTTGTAGGACAAAGAACAGTAGGATTAAAGACACTACACTAGCTCAAACACTTCATAAGTCTGGTGAATATTGCTATTGCTGATTGCGATAACAATCAAATGAATCTGATCAAAGCTATGAAAAGAAAATGTTTCACCCATATTTACTGTATTCCTTTGTAATAACATGGAACTAGTTTTGCAATGCAGTAGGAAAAGAAGAAACTGATAAAAATCCCCCTTTTTTTTGCATGCAATATCCCTCTTATAGTTAAATATGGTTATAGATAAGTGTAGATAACTATATAAGTTGCATATGAAAAATTAAGTCATTTAAATCAAGTTTCCTTTTTATCATAACTTTTTTTGAAAACTGGAAGAAAAATCTTAATTCCTCTAATTTCAAAGCATATATTTTTTTTTAATTATACTGACTTAATTAGCAGTCCTGTGTTTCAAATTTTCTTAGAGGTGTAATTTTTTTAAATATTTTCAATGTTCCCCTTGTAATTTTCATTTTTTCCCATTACTCATATGTTTTATGAATGTAAAAATAATTTTGATCTTTTTATTCTCAATTTTTTACAGTTATGCACCAGTTTGTTTCCTAGCACAACATTTTTTCAATTTTAAACATTGCATGCCACTAAATTTTTATTAAATTTACTGAATGAAAAACAATTAAGCTGTATATAACTTTAAGATACTATTTTTTCTATGTAATCTATTTGAAATAAACTAATTTTGTTTCCTTATTTTTTTTTTTTTTTTGAAATACCTACATAATTTTCTGTTAATTTCGTTTTCAAATTTAATAATATCCTTCTTTTTGCATTGCTACACATTTTAGCATTGAGCTATTGCATTCTTAGTAAAATGTCTTGTCAGTTTATTTTTTCTTTGTACGTTTAAAATTTTGATTAATTTAGCGTTAACTGTCCATTTCTAAAATTATATTTTGATATTCAAAAAATGCAACAGCAACGATGTAAGATGATATACGGAATTGCTAGCTACATAATCTGGCAACTCTGTTTATCTTCTTCTGACGAATCTCTATGTAACTAACTATTGAGAGTTATATCATGCAATTCTAAGAAAAGCTTTATCGATTTTCCAAGATGTTTTTATCGAATCTGGCTTTCTTCTCTCAATTCATCCTGCTGAGAAACTTTTCAAGTTTAAAATATATTTATTTTAAAACTCAAATAATTAGTATTGAAGACTGAAATTAACTTCAGGTGGCACATAGTAGAACTCTTTACCTATAGTAACACTAGGCATGCTTTCACCATTAGCATGGGTAGCATGGGTAGTAGTAGGTTGCTTTCAGTTTTGATTTTCAAACTGATGAAAAATGTTTAAATTTAGAAACTGTCATCATCATCATCAATGGCTCGACAGTCCAGGGTGGCCCTTTGCCTTCTCAAGAAGTTTCAGTCCGTGGTTAATTTCTTCTTGAGATTTCGTAACAATTGTTTTTTACAGTGTAGAGTCGTCAGTCATACACCAACCTGGAGAGCAAGTCTTCTGATATAACCCCCAGAAGCAGGGTGCCCAGCTATACCCCCAGACACTGAGTACCCATTTAGAAACTATATAAAAATGAAAACTTCATTAAAGATAATGCTTAAAATATGGATCGAGGAAATTTTTAAATATATTTTTGACACTCGAAATGCGGAAAATATTATGGTAGAAGGAAGGAAAAATAATAAATATATTCTCATACATCTGAGCGGACGAGAAAGGGGGGAGGCGCTAGACAAGAGACCGGTTTTCTCCCCAAATAGCATATTCCAGTTTTGCAATCAAAAATTTTATAGATACAATAGAAATTAAGTAAATTGATGTCAATAAAATAATAATTTAATGGCTTGTTTTATCTATCCCCTCAATGCATGAAATTGGAATGGCTAAAAAATCTTAATTAAATCATTCAATTTTCTTTTTTTCTTTTTAAACTATGAAATATTGAATAAGATGTAAGTAATTTTTAAATATATTTTATTCGGTTTTATGGTGGTTATTGTTCCTGGTTATAAAAAAAAAAATTTCTAAGTGGATCCATGACTTTGCTGTTATTAAATGTTTTGCATTCTGGTTTAATAACTGTTTGCATATTTAAATAACTTTTTATTTCAAGTATCACACTTATTTTTTTTTAATTTATGAATTGCAGGAAGATTTCTTTATAACAATTATTTTTTAATTTTTTTCAGAGGAGAATAATTTTTTAAGTCATTTAAATATAAATTGAATTTCTTCAACCTTTGCTATTGCTAGAGAACATGGAGTGTACCTGTTAAAATACCTGTAAATGTACCTGTTAAATGTTCCTGGTAAAAACTGAAAATTTGACCCTTAGAAAGTTGTTAATAATCCTCATCAGTTCTATGTATATGAGATTTTTTTAAAGTGCATATTAGCTAAAAAAAAACAAACAAATATTTTAAATTATGAATTATGAAAGAAAATTTATCTTCGCTCTTTTCAAAAGCATGATAGTCATATTTTATTTTATATATTACAGAACAAAGGTTTTCTTTTTTTAATTAAATGAGAGTGTTTAAAACACTCAAGAGCTATTCTATAAAAAAACTTTTCAAATTTAATATGTTTGTAAGAAAGAGTAATAATAGCATAGTCCCTAAACATACATGTGGATGAACTAGGGGTGGAAATATAAGTTTTTGTATTGGCTCCAAATAGCTTCAAAAAGTTGTCTTGAAAAAGAGGAAGTCAAATTTGAAAAAATTTGGTGCAATCTCAATAAGAGGATGTCACAATTATTTTTGTTAAAAACGTTTTTTAGTGATTAAAGTGTGAAGAAAATATTTAAAATCGTCTATTTCAAACACATCCTAACATAATCTTATATGTAACCATATATTTAAAAAAAATTCCGTAATATACATCATCATTTCGAGGAAGCATAGCATTTTTTGTAAAGGAAAAATGTGTAAAACTTTAACACTTCAACTCGAGTCAGTGCTAAAACAGTGTCTCATACTTAAAAACTAAAAAAATATGGAAGCATTATCAAAGTATTCTTAATACAAAAATGTCTCCTATCACGAAAGTACACAAATAGAAATTAGTTAAAGCGCTATTTTTCTGTTGGAAATAAAAATTAAACTTGGTTACAGCATAGCTTCATCAAGATATTATTTAATATTGCTTAAATTTTGCACTTGAAATAACAATTTTCAAAGTCAACTTTTGGCAGGTCTTAAAAGTCTATGTTAGGAACTTTTGTTCTATCGTAATAGGTGTGCTATTTGCTCCATAACTTTTTTTTTAAAAATTTTTATTAATTTTTACTGAAATGTAAAATTACGTTTCTGTTACTTAATTTTAATTAGTTACAAAATGTTACATTGACAATTGTTTTACATCTCAAAAAATTAGGGTTCTATTGTTTGGTTATGATAAAAATGAATTCAAGTTATATTTTTTAGAATTGTTTACAATTATACCAATTTTTTTTTTTTTTAATCCCTATCAGCATTTATATTTTATTTCCTGTTTAGCTGAAAATATTCAGCATCATAGTGTAATTAAAATATAATTTTGTTCCTAGAAGATAATATTAAATAATCATTTACTTTATTTCATTGTGTCTGTGTAAATTATTTTTCTGATTTTAATGATATAATATATCAATATTGTGCCAGTGGGCGTCTTACTAATGCTCACTGTTTCAAATCTTCTTTTCTTCCTTTTGCTTACTTCTCCTTTCTGCTTTAAGGCCCAGATTTCGGTAAGTTTTCTCTTGCTTGTGGCTGTTGTGTCATGTGATCTTATTTTGTTTTCACATTGGTGTTCTTTTTTTCCCTCTTGTTTTTTAAAGTTTATAGTGATGCTTAAATTAGAAAATAGATGGGACTGCTAGTGCTTTTTTCTTTTGTTCAGAGTTAAAGAAAATGCATTTTAAATCTTTGTTTAATATTATTCAAATCACACGTTTGCCAGATTGTTTGTTATTGTTTTTTCTGTGTGTACAAATTTAATGTGTAATGTCATTTTAATTTTAATATTTTAGCTATGAAATATTTTAATTGTAAGTAAAATTTATGTTCTATATTAAAAAATTTTTTGAATCAACTTAAAAAATGTGTTTTAAGCTTCTAGACTTAAAAACTTTATCCACTAGTGTAAAAATTGGATTTATAATTGTCTTTAAATATATCAGACATGCGATTTTTTTAGGCTTCTTTCTGAATTTATTATTTATTGAGCAGTGCTTTCAGTATCTTTTTGTGTAAATGTGCATTAATATATTAAAATATGCTGACAAACTGGCATCGCTATGCAATTTTAGTGTTTTTAATTCTGATTGGGTCACTTGTCTGCATTTGTTCAACTAACCAAATTATTTATGCTAAATCTACTCCCAGTGACTTTTTAATTTTGTAAAATTAACCCTGTCTCAAAAAATGAAAAATAAAATTTATGAAGTTCCAACTATTATTTACATTATTTTAATGAGAAATGTGGTTTCCAATTTATTTAAATTGAAGCTTTAAAGAAAGAAAAAAAGTATGCACCCATGCTTGCTTTATATTTTTTAGTGTAACTTTTTTAGTGAAATAATTCTTAAATATAGTGTGTTTAGTGAAGGTGATTTCAGTATTGCGAAATATTATAAAAAAATATGACTAATTGTTCCTACTTTGTAAAATGATTTTTTTTGTTTGTGTAATGACATGTTTTCTTTAAACATTATATGTATGTTAAGATCTAAAACAATGAAACAAAACAAAAAGAATAAAGTAGCAAAACAAAGAATGAATGATAAACAAGGATTGTTTAAAAATATTTGATTAATCAATGTTTTTTTTCCACAAGTCAGCATTTTATTTCCATTTATAAGTTAAGTTTTATAAAACACCTTATAAAAATTAGTAAATTTTTAAAATGTTCCAGAAAAACTTTTTAAAATGAAAGAAAAAAGATGGGGCAAAATTTTTACACTCTTCAGTAACTTCAGTATTCCTTTTAAATTGTCCCTTTTATGTATTTATTTTTTTAATATTATATTTAGGTTACATTTTGAAAAATTTTATGTTTTGTATATTTACTGATTATCTTATTGCTCTACAGAGGAATTATTATTTTTTTTTTTTTGGTAATCTCCCTGAAGTTTTTTTCAAAGTTAGCAGATGCAGTTTTCTTGTCTTTTTAGTTTCATGATATTTTTCTGATTACCACTAATGCTCAACAGAAGTGGAGGTATTTCTTTTGGCGATATCCTCTTGGAATTTTTCAAAAATTAGTGGATCTGGTTATGAGCCGACCCCCAACTTTAGCTTTCGAGAATTTTCTAAAAATTCACAGCTTATATTCAGAAATATATGGTAGTTTTTTCCTTATAATTGTTCTGTTATTACAATATTTTACAATTGTTACAATATTTTTTTTTTCACATGCATCTTTTAAAACTCATTTTTCCAACTGGTTTGTTATAATACAAAATATAATTTTAAATGAAGTTCACTTTACTTCAATTGTGCATGGGAAATAGAAGTAATTTCAATTTAACTATGACTTAAATCAGTATAAGTGGGAGTCAAACATTTTAATCACTGACTCTGACATCTGTGTTAAAATGGTACATAGATATACTTATCTCATTTGAATTACATGAATGCATATTTAAAAAAAAAAGATTTAAAATTTCTGGAGTAAGTTGTTGTAATTGGATGTTGCTATTGTTGTTTGTATGTTACTTACTAAAGTTGTTTTGATGTATAGTTAAATATGTGAAATATTAAATTACTTAAATTGAAGCTTGCATTGCTTTTATGCAGATAGTTTTTTTTGTGAAACAAAGCTTATAGACGTAACACATTTTTGTAACTATTTATATTTATTCATTTTGAAATATTTATTTAGCTCAAAATCAGTATGGGTATTTTAAAGGATTAACATTTCAATAGATCGAGTGTATTCTAATATTTTTCTTTGTTCTTTCGTAACTGAAAATAAACGGAAATTTTTTGTAGGTTTACGATTCTCAAGTGATAGACAGATACCAAGATATAAAATTAACACAATCAAAATAAAATTATGTTTGCATTGTAATAAGAATCATATGTTCTTGGTCTAATTAGAGCCAAATCTTGGTCTAATCATACCCTGATCTAATCTATGTTGCAATTAAATATAATTTTTTTTTTATGGAATTAACTAACATTAGATTAACAATTATTTAAATTGTAAATAAACAAAACCAAGGTAAACTGATCAGTAAAACGTTAGATTTTCCTTTAAATCAAATTTTTGAGTGAAGTAGGAGGAAAAAATCAATTTTTTTTAAAAAAAAATGTATGATCATATCTCTGTTTTAAATTTGCGTATTTTTAGTCAAAAAGAAATTGCATATTGTAGGTTATGAAGTGTATCAATATTAATGTTTTAAGAAAATATAATAATGCCGTTAGCTCGGATTTAATTTTCATTTTAGGTTAAAGAAGGCTTACAAAATATTTGAATTATGCTTTTTTTTCTTCTTCCTAATAGGTTGCAACTAGGATTATGAAGTTCCTCATTGATAATTTTGGGGTAACTAATCTCTTTGGCAAAGGAAACTATGAATACTATGCTCGCATGACTGGCAGAATCTTCAAAGTGGAGGAAAATTGGATATTCGCTTTTCGATACCCTCCAGAATCATTAGTTTCACGTAATTATGACTGTATGTCTTGGTAGTTTGTAGTATCTTAGTTTAACATGTAGATTATAATTTTTGTACTACGCACTCATTCATTAGATAGTTTTGTTTTTGTTTTTTTCACAATATATAGTCAAATTTTTTTGCAAAAAATATTTAACGGTACCCTTTAGCAAAATTTTATTTACTGCCAATAACTGTGTAATTGACTGCTTATTGCTTGCTTTTTGTTTCTTGCTTAATTATAAAGGCTGATACTAGTTTAAAATACCAAAAAATTTAGAATAGAAAATTGCTTATGTGGATGTACCATTGGCACATATTTTAAATCTTCCTTTAAAAAAATCAACTGAACACTTTCATTTATAAAAATATTACGTCTTTCAATGGATTTCTGTCTCCTTTAAAAAATAAAAAAAATGATTTAGAGGGGACAAGAAAAAGTTTAAAATTGACTGATAATAATAATTAAAAAACTATTTAATGTAAGGGAATAGAATTTTATTTAACCCCTTAACTGCCGAGTAAAATTTACGTGACTCACTCCCCAGTGCCACCGTTTTTCGCTCAAGTGAACTTTCTTACGTGGTGTTTTGGTGGATTAAAATGATGCACTCGTTGCAATTTAAAAACAGTTTACTTTTACAAGACAAGAGAAAGGAAAGAAAGAAAATACAACATTTAAATTAAATAATAAAAATACAATATAAAAGATGTTAAAACTTAGCTGTTGTATGATAAATCCTGAAACATGGTTGTTCACATAAACCAACATCACATTCATTGCACTGATAGTGGGATTCACGACGAATTTTTTTCTTGAACAAACAGCGCATTTTCGCGATGCATTTGAAGACGTTGATGGAAAGAATAAAAAGCACCAAAATACACACGGGAAATGAAATCGAAAAACGAATAAACCCGACCTTACTCAAAAAGAGACAAGCAAACGATTAATACGATATCACTTTTCCATAACATCCTTTTCCCATTCCCCCTCCTCCGAAATTAGTAATATATTTGCAAAGCAAACACTTTCAAGGTCATTTCACTGCATTCTGAAGTAGGGGTGTAGTTCTATTTATAGCAGCGCAATGCAAAGCATCGTACTTCAGGAAAGCGTATATATACGCCTGCGGCAGTTAACACATCGTCTGGCCGAGACGTATATATACGCCCGCGGCAGTTAAGGGGTTAAGTATTAAGAAGAGCACTTAATTTTTCTTTATTTACTTGAAAACTTGATCCACTCCTTTTTTATTTTAATAATTTCAGTTTTAAAAACCTTAACCTTTGAATACCTTGACTATTTGTTGAGGTGTCTGAGTTTATGTGGATTGTATAAAAATTTTAATTTATGACGCTTTGAGAAAACTTTTCTACTCTCAAAATCTGAATCTCGAGTGTTTTTTTGTTTTTTTCACAAAATGCCCCTTGTTTAATTTGAAGTTTTTCCCCATTGCCGTTTAATTACATTTTATCCCAAGCTCTATCAAATGTATGTATCCGTTTATTTTGAAAGTTTATGGATGTTTTATTTAATAAAATTATTGAATTTTTTAAACTTACACTTTTCACGTTTTCAATCAGCTAAATTTGTTTTTTATTTTCATTTAATAGTTTTAAGTTCTACATTAGGGCACTAACTTCTAAGCTCTTTCTGCGTTATGTGAAGATAAACTAATTTTTAGATGAAATTTATTTTGTTACCATTAATTCCTTTAAGTCTATAATACTATATAGATTTAATTATACTATAGAATTAACCTAAATAAATAAGTTTCTAATATTTCATACATATCTTGTTGTTTGAAAAATCTGCTAAAATGTGGAGAATTGTAATTATGTTCACTTTTCTTTGTATCAACTAATATATAAATACAAATATAAATTTATAAACTGACATATATAGATTTTCTTACATTTTAGTTTAATTGTATTAAGTCAGTTTTTCCAACTAAACTCTGCTCTTATGTACAATGTTTTTGAAATATAGTTACATGGTTAAATTTTTTTGAAGTGAAAATTTTCACTGAGCAATATTTATATCATTATTAGTATTAAAAATATCTTATTTTTTGGTGTTTTAAAGAAATTAGAAATTATTCCCCTTTTTTTATAGTTTGATGCAATGATTGTCTTTAAATATTGCCGTATTTTCAAACTGCTTGCATTAATTTGATTAAAAAAAGGTTTTTATTTTTATCACAGCTTATTATCATAAATCAATTAGAGTAAGGTGCATATGTTGATGACTTATTGTTTCAGCTTCATATCTTACTTATATCTTATCTTTAATGTTGTAACTTGTTCAAGTAGTAAGTACTTTAGTTTGAAGTTATACGTTTAGTTAGTACTTTAGTACTAGTAAGTACTTTAGTTTGAACATCAATCTTGAATCTTTCTTACTAACTAACATATTTATTGAAAACTGAAACTAGACTCTGAAATCTGTGTAAGGCTTTGTTTGTTTAAGAATTAGTTAACATTTTTAATTTATAAAAAAAAAAAAAAAAAAAAAAAAAAAAAAAATTATGTTCCAGTATTTTACATTTGAAGTGGTTCCATTAACCTGTGATCTTTAAACTTTAATCAATAAAATATGTTACTCAAATGCATTGCTGAAACTTCATTAGTCTACATTAACTTTTTCTTGGGGTTGGGATTTTTTTCTCCATTTAAAGTATTTCTATAAATAGCATGCATTTCAAAAAGGGCGAAAAAAGTTCTGAAATATGTCGAAGAATTGCTCGGTCAATTTATCACTATACATTTATTATACCATTCCAACTGAATGGACTAGCTGCCATTTTACGATTAATGGCAGAAGCATGGTGGTCCCATTAACCAGTGATTTTTATTTCATAGTGGGTCCAAGGGGGATTCAGTGGTCTCAGGCCAGTGGAAAACTAAGCCACTGCTCTCTTTGATTTTCTTTAAATATATCAAATTTTTAAGGCATTAAAGTGAGGGCGAAGTGTGTAAACTTATAGAAACTTGATTTTGAGTAGGCAGGGGTCTGTCTAGGTTTTTCTGAGAGATACCTTTTTTGTGAAAATTTAGACATAATTTGTGAAAAATTAAAAATTATATTAAAAAATCATCACAAAAATATGGATTTATTGTTACTTAAGGGATACAAAAATAAAATTTTACGAAAAAGTATTTTGTGAAACTACCTTTTTCCTAATGTTGAATTTGTGAAACTACCGTTTTTCCTAATGTTGATTTTGTGAAACTACCGTTTTTCCTAAACTTGAATTTGTGAAGGTACTGCTAAACGTTAGTAAATTCGGCCTGGACAGACCACTGATGGGTAAGAATAAAATGTTTCAAAATGTATTTCATTTTGTCTCTTTTAAAAATATAAACTTATTTTTAAGCATTAGACTTTTTTTGGAAATTAAACTTTTACCATCAATTCGTTAACATTCTGAAGTAAGTCTATATTTTAGTTAATGGATGTTGGATTTTGGCTTTGCAAATTTTAGGATTGTTGGAATTATTCGTGTTGGATTTGAGGGTGTCTAATGTATTTTTATCATTATGGCATTTCTAGAAGCAATTATGTCAACAATATGTGTGCCTCACTTATGATTTCCTGCTTGCTTTGCATTTATGCTTTTAACCTTTCTATTTTGTTAATTGCCTATTCTATCTCTGCAACAGCATTTTGTATGTTTTATAGGCAAAGCCTCTCTGGAGACTGAAAAAAACTGGCTCCAGCAGGAGGCTGAGCGCTGGGGATTTAAATTTAACCTGGAAGGTAAGCCTCTCTTACATAGAATAGATTTGCACAGCTTTTGCCTAACATCCCACGTTTTGTCCCCTGAAATCTTTTAAAATTATTAATTAAATTATAAAATAATCAGAATGATCAGAAAAAAAAATAATTTTTATTAATTTCTGTGTTGATATCATGCTTTATTTTCTTTAAATTTCTGTTAAAAGAAACTAAGAAGTTAATGCATATAAACTTATATATTTAAATGGCTCATGGGCTGCAATAGTGGCACAACTCAAAAAACACTCGTTTTGGACTAAGAACAGGTGTATGCACATTCTTTCAGAAAATGCACATTCTTTCAGCAGCAGTACTGGCACAACTCATAATTCAATTTGAAGGTAATCTTCGTTTAAGTAAACTTAAGCATTTCTCATGCAATTTGCTTAGCAATGAAAACTAAAGACCCACTTATCTCAAAACTTGATTTTTTGAGTTGTGCCGCTATTGCAGTCCATGAGAGATATATTAATTAATTGAATCAATTGAGATCTTTTAAGGTACAGTAAAAAGAAATAAAATAAAACCTTGTATTAAGAATAAGATTATCTTGTGTTTCAAAGTAAAAATCTACAAAAAAATTTTCTTGATGTTTTAGTTAAATAAGTGAACCAATGCTAAACTCTGTAAATTAATTGTTGTGTGCTTGGTTGTTTCAATATCCTAGAAAGGATGTCACTAAATAGAAACTTTGCTAAAGGATAAAGCACCCCCTTTGTAAATTGTAATTGTAGGTCATTGTATAATTCAACCTACTTTTAGCCTCGATGGTATCAATAAGTCTTGCTTGGCTAATAAACAGGCAGTTGAAAGAAGGTTTTCATTTTTTGTATTAAACTGACTGAATTCCAATGAAAAGCATGGCCATTGACAATTTCCAATTTGTTTTTTTTCTACATCTAGAAATCTTTCTTGTCAGATTTAAATAAAATACTGTGTGATGTTTGTTGGCTGCTATTAAAGGGCAAGTAAGAGAGCAATAACATTGAAGAACTGGTTTTTAACCTACATAAAGTTGATGCTATCAAGTAACTCATAAATATAGCTAATAAAACTAACTTAATAATAATAAATAATTTTTTAATTTTTCTCTTGATTGCATCAGTTCTGCCCTCTGGCGAATTACATGTTTAGGTAGGTTATTGAAAAAGGTATTAATAAAAGTGAAAAAAAGATTAGTAAACAGTCCATCGAGGTAACAGTGCAAATTATGCAATACACTAATCTTCACTCATTCTATAAATTATTTTTTCTGTAATTTCATGTTATATGTTTAAAAAAGTTACAAATTTTTAAAAATTTAAATAATACTTAGTTATTGTGCTCAGTTATTGTCTTTACCTTTGTGCTTAGTTTTAATAAAATGTAAGAATCTAATTAGATTTTATTTTAAAATTAATAATTTTATCGAATTAATGCTAAGGAATGAAAAGAGTTTTCATTATTTCTTTCCGGATACAAATGCAGAAATTAAAATATCCATTCCTAACCTGTTAACCAGGGAATTGGTTTTTTCCTACCTATTTCACAGTGAGGTTTTTTCTTCATAGCTATAAATAATATCATCACACCTAAGTAATTTGTATGCTAAAAAATTTTGTCATGCCCAATTAACAGGTGAAAAATTTTGTTCCTTTAAATATTGCAACTGGCATTTTTCCTTTTTAACCTAAAAATTGCAATATGTTCCTAATAGAAGCGTTGTAATAATTAAAAAAAATATCAACATGTCTATTAATATTTTCAATCTTATTTGAATATTGATCTGATTTATGGTTTTTTAATTGCTTGTGCATTAAGACAGTGGTGTATTATACTTCCCTGACTTGAAAATAATTATCTCTATATCACACGAGATGAAAACGAGAAACTTATTTTTATTCTATGGGAATTTTTTGTTTTATGAAATGATGGCTCTTAATAAAAAAATTTAGCAATTGTTGAACTTTTTATGGGATTGTATGGATTGGATTTATACTATTTCAAACGTAGTTAAAATGAAACTAAATATGCACAAAAAGGAGAGTAAATAGTTTAGATACTGTTACATTTAGAGATTTAAAATGTAAAAGGTAAGATTATGCAAGGTTTGCACGAGTTTTTTCCCCCCTTTTATATATTCATTCTATAAATTTATAATAATGAAATCAATCTTTTAAGTAACATATCTAGTTAAAAAAATTTTTTTTACTTTATTCATTAGCTATATCCTCTCAAGAAGAATGTCGAAGCACGCCAGCTTTAATTCATGCTAGTGAGTCTATGGTTCAAAATGATGGTCCCCATATGAGTGGTAGCTTGACTAATCTTGCTGATACTTATACAAGACTGAGTGTATCACTTGAAGAAAATGGACTTTATAAGGTATGCAAGTAATTTAATTATAGTGCTATAGTCCTAAACATAGCATGCTCTAGTTTTTAATTTTTCACTGAGTGCTCAGATTATCCATGGATAGGGTTGCAAGTTTGTCGCGGGAAAAAAAGACATAAATTCGTGCGTGATTCGCGCAAAAGTTTTAAAAATTCGTGAAATTTTCGCGGATAACATATGCACTGATATTTACACTGAAAATCAATTTAAANATTGCAAGTCACATGAACAGCATTCAAGAAAACTGCTTTCAAACTTTTTTCCCATGCTTTGTTCATGTAAGACGCATTGTCAGTGACGAAAGATGAAATGGTATTAAATAATAACTTAAAATTGTGAATAATTTTCATTTAAATCGCGCGAATTGAATAACTTTCGTTCAAATCGCGCAATTTTAAAAAATTCGGGAATTTTTGAAAAAAACTTGAAATTTCGCGAAAATTCGCGCCGCGACAAACTTGCAACCCTATCCATGGACTATTAATTCTGAAAACATGCTTAACAAGGCGGGAGAACAAACAATTAAAGAAAAACTGTTTAGTTATTATTGATATTACTGTAATGTAATGTAAAACAATTGATTTATAGTTTTTTTAATTTGTGGCAGAATCTCGAGGATATGGCAACATTGTGAAGAAGTTGTTGAATTAAAACTTTTTTTCTTCGCTCTACCGAATTTAGAAAATTCCTTTCTTGTGCATCAGAGAGTAAGGAAATGCTTATGATTTTTGTATTCTCATTTGGGAATAAAAACGATAATTAGCTAGAATTTCAAATAGATAAATTAATATATATTCTAAAATCGTGAAAGATAGTTCACTTTAGAAATCAATTAACAGAACCCTTGTTTATATAAATTAGCAACATATATATTCGTTATTATCAAAAGTATCATAAAGAAAATGTTAGGACCAGAGAGGTTTGTCGCGGAAAGCCAAAAAAAAAATTCTGCCACCGAGTTTTTATTTAAATGTATGGCAGTGATACATTTTGAAACATAAATATGATCGCTTGTGTTATAAGTCAAATCTTTTAAAATTTGGTAAGCTCAGAATCCTTTCACAGTCTTTTAAAAGCAATAATAATTAATTAAGAAATTTGAAGAAAAAAAATTATTGAATTATAAATATTTTTTAACTATGTTAACTTTTTAAAACTTGCATCTTGATAAAATTATATAAATAAATTAAAATGCACACTTGTTTCCCAATCAAAATCTGAACCAAAATTTTTCAAATGCTAATTTAACGTTTATTTTAATAATTTATTTCTTTTTCTCAACTTTTGTAATCAGCTATTTTAGTTTTTAAAATTTTTATATATTTTTAAATATTAATAAAAGAATGAGCCACGATCACCCAGTGGTTAATGCACTGGTATTTCACTGTGAAGAGCTGGGGTTCGATAGCCAATGGTGTCTTGAAGCACACCCAACTTCAGATTGATGGGTATCAGCTTGCCTTGGAAGTAAATGCAGCCTGCGTGCAGTGCTGACTACTTTGCTACAATCATGCCATTGGTCAGGAAATTGTGTAGCCTACATGACCCCCCTGGCCCACAGTGAGATGTTGTGGGAAGGCTTTACTTTTCAGTAAGAAGTTGAAATCAATAGGAGTAGAAATTTAGACTGTGGTCTGAAGGACTTGTAGCTAAAAGATATTGTACTTATTTTCATTTTTTAATTTATTACTCTTGTATGGTTCTCTATTACATATGTATTTTTTTTTAAAAGTTTATAAAGTGAATTTAAATAATAAAAATTACTAGGTAGGGAAATTGTAATGTACACTATTATGCTGAAAATACTATTTTAAACGAAGCCACTGATCAAAACCATAACAGCATACCATTCCTTTACATATATTGCTAGTCTGGGGGACCACTGATTATTATTTAATGGTGGTCCACATTAAATGTTAGTGATCTTGGGACCAAGGAACCACTATTAATTTGGAGCCCTGTAAGATATTTTACAAACTTTAACAACCAGGCTGTAACAAATGTATAAAACATTGAAAACATCATTTATGTTTAATACCAACTGGTAGATCACATTTCATACCTGCCAACTTTCAATCTTTCTGAGAATGGATTTTCCAAGTGGTAGTAAATCAATTAGCGAAAAGCAATCTCACTCAAAAATATATTTATATTTTGACCACGGTGAAATTTGATTTCATACGGATTATTATGCTTTTATATATTTGTTGTAATTATTTATACATAGTGGTGGTCAAATTCAATTGAAATTATTATAATTCAAAAAGTTAATTGGATTAACATGAGTACTACTACCACTTTAAATATGAAAATAAAATCTTCCTGGAAAACCGGAAGAGTTGGCAGCTATATTTAATTTCATTCTATTTTAATAATTTATTTTGTGGACATATGATAATATTGTAACACTATCCTAATAGGCAGCATCTCCTATGTCTTTTTTGGCATTGGATCCAGAGGAGCTGAAGGCTGTCAATCGTTATGCAGAAAGCACCAAATCTCTGACATTTCTTCCTCAAGTCCATGAAAGGCAAACGGCCAGAATGCGCACCAGGTCTGAATGGTTTCTTAATCCATCTCCTTGTCCTTCTCCTATTCCTATATGTGTACCTCCTGAAATAGATGAAAATGAAGAAGTAGCTGCCAAGGTATTTCCAATTTTCATAAGTTTATACTTTAAACACCACTTTCTATAGTAGTTTATCGCAAAACACCAAATTTCTGCTTGCCATTGGCGACCATAGATTCCGAGATGCTAGCTATTTTGATTTATCCCTTATTATTGCAATTATGGAGTCAAGGTTATTGTCTCACAGTAAAGTAATAACACTACTTGTCTTCGAGAATTTTCTGCCCAGAGTAATACAGAATGCGTAGCAGTTTTGAAAAGTGCTTATTTTTGATTTACATTTTTTAAAAGCCCTGAAGGGTGCTTTTTTTTTATTTGGAATTTGTAAAAAGTGAGTAATTTTCTATCGATTTAAGAACTTTAAACAATGGAAAAAAATAATTTTTATTATACTGCAAAGATCCTAATTATGATTTTTTTTTGGATTAAAAATTTTTTTGAGTGCTTAAAAAGTACTAAAAAGGTGCTTATTTTTTGTTGAAAAATCTGGCTACACACCCTGTTATAGAATTTTGTTTGAACCAATAGAACAAAGTTTTTTTGTTGTCAATAGAACAAAAATTAACAAAAGTCACTTTCCCCTTCCAACAAGCTTTTCTAGAACTTCCTCTTTTTTCACTGAAAAAAACTTTTTAATGATTCTTCAAATGCAGGATGCTAAAAAAGGCAGTAAGTGCTAGCTCTAATTTAACCAAAAATTATAACATTTATTGAAGTAATTTAATTTTTTAGCAAAATATTAAATTTCAGTGTTAGAAAATGTTAATTTGTATCTTTATCCAAGTGTTACTTTTTTAATTAATGCATAATGCACCTACATATTCTATTATTATTAAAACCTATATTATTCCAAGTGTTACTCATATAGACTTTAGTATGTACACTTTAAAGTTGGGCTAATTTGAATTTCGTAAACACTAATTGCATATATTTTTGTGTTATTGTACTTCTTATTTCTGATAGCTTGTTTAAAAAGTTGGTACTTCGGTAGATTTAAGGTTAGCCAGCAAGTTTTGTCATTTTAAACTAGGAAACTGGAGCAGCTTACAGTGCAATTATGATTTCAGTGAATAGAAGTTTTTTTTAATTTTTTTATTGTTAGTTTATTTTAAATTATCACTGTGATTTAAGAAAAATATTTCCTGGCATTTATATTTCTTTAGAAATAATAAGATAAATAGAATAATAAACAATTTGATAGAATAGGATTTGATACATATCCTATAATATTTAGACACATGGACAAGCCATATAATGTAATGTCTTGTCCAATATTATAGGATATGTGGCACTTCATTGATCACTCTAATATGCCCGTCACTCAAAAAGATAAAGTTTTTGGTTGACAAGCATAATGAATGATAAAACACAGTCTAACAATCCTGTGTTGGATAATTTTTTATCATTCATTATATCATTGTTACTGTATGAAACTGGCCCTCTTATGCATTATTAATGTTCAAGTAAATTTTTTAAGAAAAAAATTTTTTTGTTAATTTATTAGTTTATATCTTTCTCTTTGAAAAAGATTGAATCTTATTTTAATTGTAAAATAGCTGTTTTCCGAGTAATTACAATTTAAAAATAAAATTTTATTTACGAATTCTTAGATTAATTTGTATTGTTAAAGTGTGTATGTTCTTTGTAATTTTGATTTGAACTTAAAATATTTTTTTCTTTCAAATATTCCCCATCTTTCAGGACATTTACTCAACTTGATTAATTGTTTGTTACATATTATGTATTATAATATTATTTTATTAGTGATGTTTGATTCTTATGAGAAATAATTTTTAAAAATTGCTAAAGAAATGGACATAATGTTTGATTTTTTTCTGATTATTCTGTTATTTACAAAATTAACATTAGCATTTTAAAATAAATAAGAATTTATCTAACCTACTTATTATGAAAATAATGAAATTACTGCAAAATGCTATTTATCCAGATGTAAATCAAATCTATTAAATAAGGCAATCAAAGACTAGGCAATTTTTCCCTACCATCTTAAAATTTTCTTTATGAATGTGTATTGTTTAATGTATGTAAAAGTAATAATTTCTATATGTACTTACTTGTTTAAAATTATTTATCAACTTTCTAAAAGATAATATTTAAAAAAAAATAAACAACTTCAAAATACACCATTCATAATGTGTTAAAATATGATCTTTTATAATCTATTATTCTAGTCCAAAAACTGTAAAAAGAAGTGTAGGGGCATTTCCTTTAAACATCGTTGTATTTGTCTTTTCAACTTTAAAATGATCCATTTTTATTCATTATGATTTATTCTTTGTGTGCTTTCTTTGTTAACCTGATTATCCTTGATCCTTTCAATGGTCGATATACCTGTAATACTGTAGTTGCTTTACATATTGTAATTAAAGTAGATTCCCGATTATTCAAGTTAATGTGGACCACAATTAACTCTGTTAAAAGCGAAGAGTGTAAAAAGGGAAAGAAACAAATACGAAATTTATTCCAGTACACCACATACAATTAATATATTTAAAAAGTTTACTTAAGAACACTTAAAAAACATACTTTACGAGAATTAGAGAGTTTTTACTTGAAGTCCTTAATTTTTTTTTTGTTTTACATTACTTTGGTGCTTTTCTGCAGCAATGTTTCGCCATTTTTTTAAGGATAACAAGAAGGCTAGTGTCTCGTCTTGTTGTTCTATATATACAATAGCACTTCAGATAGGCTTTAGCCCATCTGTATGAGAGATTTTTATATGTTGATTTCATCGTCTTTACTAGATCCATTTTTCTTATTGACAGTATTAACGCTCATTTATTGGATCAAGTTGTCGGATTTTGTTTTCATGTGTGTTTGGAAGATAAAATTCAGTTTTTTTTCCTTTGGCGGTGGTTTTAAAAATAAAAAACTGGAATAAAAAAATTCCTTGAAATATTTGATAGCTCGGTTAAAGCGGAAACTCAGATAATCGGGACTCTACTGTACTTATAAATTTAAAATTATAATTTTATGATTATTGTTTACCAATTTTGATAATCTACTTTATTTAACGGTTTAGTTTTATATTTTTACAGATGATGAGAACTGCTGACTCTAAGAGAGGTTCCAATGCCTCATCTGTGTCATCAAATTCCTTGCTTAATTCAGTCACTGGAGGAAGTGACAAACAGCTTGTTCGGAAGTCTTCAGGTAAAGAAAAACGCTTAGTTCGGCGGTCCTCGAGCAAAAGCAAACGTGACAAAGAAAATGGTGCTGGTGCATCATGTGTAACTACGACCGCCTCTTCCAGCAAAGGGAAAAGAGACTCTTCGGGGAGCAAGGTAGTGTCATTGGGGACATCCATGTCCTCCGAACCATTGCCAGTTTCCGGTTCCAGCCCTGCTCGTGTCAAGGTTATGAACAGGCTATCTAATCCAGTTGGAATAACTGAACAGGATTGTACAGAACTTGATGTTCAGTCCTTCCATGTTACGCTCACTTACAAGCCAAGGATATGACCCTGTGTTGTTTGTTTTTTTATGTTTTCATTTGTAAATATATCTGTGTTATATTGTTGAGAGATACTTGCCAAATACCATTTCAAATTATATTGAATTTCATCCCCCAGAATGCTTGTTAAGGAAGTTTAAAAAAAAATTAATTCATAATGAAAGCTCATAAAAATTTCTTAAAATTGCATAACAAGTTTAGGATTGACCTGTTATTACTTTGGCTGCTTGTGTAGCATAAAATATATTTACGTATTCTCATCCCTTTAATCATCCATATTGTTGATTGTGTGTTATGTTTTCCTTGTTGGTATTCTCTGTTTATTTAAGTAAGTATTGTATATTGATTGTTAACCTCAAATAAAGCTGTAAACTATTAGTTTAACTTAATAATATTTTCTCATGACAAAACGCTTTGCTATTTTACACGTTTTGTGTGTTCCTATCAACCTTTTATTCATTTAATTTTTTTTTAAATAAAAATTTCAGTATTCGCCCATTTTTTTTGTGTTTAATTATCCTTGTAATTATTTTGAAAGCAAGATATATTAAATTTGTTATTTAGCCTTCCAGAATTTCATTTAATTAATTTGATTTTTTAATGTTCCTGCTTTGTAGTTGAAGAACTTTGGCAGATATATTTTGTTTTGTTTTCAGAAGAATTGTCTTATTACCTACGTATTATAGTCTTGTCAGACCATTACAAGCATTTATGAGCTTTTGAGCATCGTAAAAACTCTCAATTTAAATGAGTAAAAATGAGCTTTACAAAAGCATGTGATATTAAGAAATTTAGAATGATTCCTTTAATTATTAAATTGTGCTTTTTTTTTCTTTCATTTCAAAACTTTTATGAGCTTTCAAATGGCCAAAAATTTGGTTGGTTTACTATTTGATATCATTTGCAGGTCAATCAACTTAAATATATAATGGGATCACACTGCAGTAAATGTATTTTGAAATAAAATTCGAATTTTTTTTTAAAGATAAAATTTAGATGTTTGGCTTACCAATTTAATTGAAAATCAATTTATATATTCTTACGTACATACATAATTTTTCGATTTATTTCATGATGCAGCCTTTACTCAGTAAAATGCTTTTTTTTGTGCATATTAATATTAAAAAATTTTATTAGCTTTTTATCATCATCTAAAGTCTCTTAATTGTATTGATTAAAAGTTTAGATGGTTCTACCAAAACTCTTACATAACATTTTTACTTTGTTACTGTAAATTAATAAAATTTTAATAGCTATCAGGATTGTGACAAGTATATTTAGCTCAAAGCTGCTCTAAACATTTTATCACACTGCCACAATGCTAACATTTTTCGTTTCCAATACATTGACTGTAATGTGTCCTTTTTTAAAAATTCTATTTAGTAAACAGCATTGTTGAGAGTAAAATGCAAACTAGTTGTCATCATGTTACTATTTATAACATATCAAAAATTTTAATAACTCATGATCCGATCTCTGTTTGATTGTTTGCATGAATGATCCTTACCCATTGTTGAAAAATATAAATCTCATTATTTATCCAAGAGGCAGCTTACAAAATGTTGGTTACTTTCTGCAATATTATAATACTTTGTTTTATTAGTCTGCAGGCTCTAATTAAACTGTGCTGTTAGTCTCTGACCCAGGTGTTAAGCAAAGCTTTAGGTTAAAGTGACCCACCCCTAAATTCGTAACCGAGAACTGCCAAAGACTTGCCACAATTTACAACTTATTGTCTTTATGCTGAAAAGGCTTCTGTCCCTGGCTAATGACATATTCTTTAAATTACCAAACCTAGACTAAATTTTTGCATTGAGATTATCAACACACCATTTCACCCAAATGTGTTTATCATTACAGTGCGAAAATTTTAGTTATTTTAACGTGTGACAGATCAAATGAAAAAAATAAACGATAATTTAATTTAGTAATCCAATTTAATGATGTCTAAATCTGTCCCTATTTTAAACTGATTAATTTGTCTTTTTTTTTTATATAACTCTCTGTAACAAAATGAATTCTGAGCCAAATGTTCCTTGCTCAATTGAAGCTACAGCCCAACTTTTAACTTCGGCAACAGGCCACTTTTTTTTAGTCAATCGATAATTTGGTTTGACAAACTTATGACAGTGCATTCTGAGTCTACTCCCATTTTATAAGTCACTAAAACTTTCTTACTTTTTTTTTTATCCAATAAGAAAATTCTAAACTCATTGTTCTTACTAAACTTCAGCTACTAACTATTTTCCAATTTTTGTAAAATTTATCAAGAAAAAGGGCTTTATTTACAGCTAGTCATAGCTGGTAGATTAGTTTGACAAACCTATGACAGTGTATTCTAAGTCTACTCCCCTTTTATAAATCACTAAAACTGTTTTATTTATTTTTTCATAAAAAATGAATAAATAAATAAATAAAAATTCTGAAGTAATTGCTTTACTCAACTTCAGCTACAAACTATTTTTCAATTTTTGTTAAATTTATCAAGAAAATGGGTTTTATTTACAGCTAGTCTGGCGTTAAAATGGCTAAAAACTGTTTGAATTTTAGTGCTTGGTAATTTGTGTCTAGACCAGCAGATTAACAGCAATAATTTAGTTTGAGCCTATAGAGTATATGTTGAACTTGTGACAATGTAATGACAAGTCATATTTTCACTTTGTTCAGAGTGCAAAACACAATTCAGTGCAGTTTGCCGCCATCTAGTGAAATCCTGAAAATGTGTTCAGTACCTATCTGGAAACATTTCTAATGAACAGTTGGTCAGTGCTACTTATCGTTATATTGTCACTAAGCGTTTCATACTTACTAATTATAAAAAATAGTAAAGTGAGCAACTGTTTTGCGATTCTGCTTCTTGTACTAAATGTCACAAACAAACAGTGTATCTTTCTTTGGTGCTAATAATACCAAAGTATTTTCTCCCCTTCAATGTCAACATGTGGATGTTTTTCATTTCGAAAACCTTTTCCAACTATTTATGCGATGTAACGCTGCGAATGGAACAATTTCCAACATTTACTTTTTACTCTTTTATATAATTTATTTTCTTTGTATTACTCGGTCATATTAATTTGTTTTTTTTTTTATTATAAAGTTTTGATATAAAAATATGAAATTTTATGGCAAGAATTTTGTTATGTGGTATGAAAATCTGCAAAGATAATTTAAGTGTGCTTTTATAAAGTAAACTTCTTGCCCTAACATAAGTGTAAAAGTGTTTGTTAAAAATCATTTTTTTTTAAAGAAAGAAGTCACTTTGACTAAGTCACTCATAATTCTCAAATTGTTTCTTCCTTATTATATTGTACCGTTTTATGATGTGCACATTCCACACATTAGCTTCAGCACATTTTTATATTGATAGTGGGATAATCAGACTTTTTAATGGACGCAATTCTTATGATGGATTGTTTTTTTAACTTGTAAAAGTTTTAATATTATTTAGGCATATATGTATATAATAGGAAATTTCATAATTAAATCTTATGAGGTAAATTAAGACTGTTAACTGATACTTTTCATATTAATTTTATTCACTACTGTTTCTTATATGTCTTGAAAAATTTCTCAGTTTTTGTTCCAGCACTAACCCTTTCAGTATATAAATATTATTGTTCATTTAAATACACACGCAAATAAATAAATGCAATTTTTTTCTTAGTCTAAATGGATACCTAATGGATAAAAAAAAATTTTTTTAATGTAAATTTTGATTTTCAACCAATAATAGATTATTTTTAACTACTTGTTAACTGGATTACATACAGAATTTATTTATTCGACTCTTTTCATTTGGTTTGATCCTCTTTTCATTTCTTTTTAAAACAAATGAAGTATTATTTACAAACAAGAAATTAATTTAAAAGTTTCATTTGTATTGTTTAAAAAATAATTTTTATACTTTGATTTTCTTTCTCATAATTATTGTAAAGACAATTTTTTTAACATCTTGTATTTTTTAAGTGTTATTACTTAATTCTTTTCCCCAAAACTTGAAAAGCCTAAACTAAATTTTAAAAAAATATGCCGGTCAGAAAATAGTTTGATAATACCCACTATCAAGAATTCAATGTTCTTATAGTACAAGTCTTTGTAGTATCAAGGTTTTTTAAACTTTATTTCAAAAGTACATGTGCAGCTAATCTGAAAAATCAGTGCCAAACAACGTGCTTTTTGCTTTCCATAACCCTTTTACATTTATAACTGTTTTGAATATGATATAAAGTGTTTGTCTAAGCTCTTTTTATATGAATGTGACAAGAAAAAAAAGCTCTAGATTGTTTTTAGAAATATTTATTTAATTTTTTTTTTTTACATCATCAGCTTGTTGTGAAGCATGTCCATTTTTTAATAATCATATTTGGTATCCCTTTGATATTTTTACCCTGACTGTATTATTACAGTGTTTGCCAACTCCTGAAATAAATCTGTAGACTTAACTATAAACTATTCATTGTGTTGAAAATATCGAAATCAGTGCTTGCTAAAAAACTATGTTTTATTAAGCGAAAATAGTTTTTGTTGAGTTTAACCTTTCCAGACTTAGTCTGCCCTGTTTGAGACAACTTATTCCAAAACCCTTTGGAAATTTATTTTTTTCTTTATTTTAAATTACCACTATTTTTTAAAAAACCTACAGGTGAAGTATATCTCTTCACTCATAATGTATTAGGAATGGCTGCAGCTTTAAAATTTCCTGTGTCAGGAAGGTTTGAAGAAAAAAATAAACCTACTCGAAAGCAGGGGCGGATTAAGCGTATGCGGGGCCCTTGGCCATTCAAATTTTTGGGGCCCTTAGATAAAAAAATTTTCTCGTATATTTTTTATTTATTCAAATATAAAAGTATTTATATATCTTTTCATTTAAGAAAGCATATTTAAAATTAAAATAAATAATAATGAATTAAATTTTACTTTATTTTATTGAATTAAAACTAAAAAATAATCATAACATTTTGAAAAATCATTGTTTTTCTTAATTTATTTTCAAAAAATCCATTTTAAGGGGGGCCCTAATCATAGGCTGACTTAGTATTCATGCAAGCTTATTCAATTTTCCTAGTTTTTGTTGGAAAGACACTAGATTATAGTTTCAAAAGGGCTAGAAAATATTCCATGGGAATGGCTGAAAATTTATTTAAAGTTTTCTGCATGTTTTCGCTTTTTATCTATTTATCAGTTTGAGACCACTTGTTCCAAAACCCTTAAATATAAAACTGTTAACTTTTTTTTTTTTTTTAATTTTAAATAAACACTATTTTTTGAAGAAACCTACAGCTGAAGTATATCTCTTTAATCAAAATGGTTGCAGCTGTGAAAATTCCTGTGTCAGAAAACGTTAGAAAAAAATAAACCTATTAGAAAACCTATGCAAAACTAGATCCTGATTATATTAGCTTTAATGGACTACCTTAGTATTCACACAAGCTTATTATTCAATTTTCCTAGTTGTAGTTTATTGCATGATGTTAAAGATTAAAGTGTGCAAAACGATTTAAATCTTAATATATGTTTTATATATGTTTTTCAATTAAATTTAATTGCACCTATCGACGCTTTGCATTTGGAAAATTTTGCTTCAAAATTTCTTCTCAGTTTGCCACTTTAAATAACAAAAAAAAAGTTTTTGTTGTTGGAAAAACACACTAGCTTATAGTTTTTAAAGGCCTAGAACACATTCCCTGGGAATGGCTAAAAATTTTTTTTAATTTTTCTGCGTGATTTTGCTTTTTATCTATTTACATGTTGTTCAAATGTAATATTTATTTAAGTCTTTTATTATTACGATTAAGACATTGAACGATATAAGCCTAGAATTTCTAAATTTTCTTTAAATTTGTGCCCCAGGAGTTGGCATTTCTATTCAGAATGTATTTGTATTGTGGTAAAAATGAGAACTTGAATAATTAAATGTTCTTTAATTACAATGTGATAATTTAAAATTGTATTTAAATGTTGATCTCATGTGTTGAGGTCTCATTTTGATTTTTATGAAAACTTTTTTTTAATGCTAATTCTTTCTAAGACTTTTTGATTATAAAGATTTTACATCTTTAAAAATATTCATCTCTTTTTTTCCCCTTTTTATTTTGTTAAGCCATTTTTATCAGTCATTGAATAAAGTAATAAACACTTTTCAAGTAGTTTAAATGATATTAATGACTTGCATTTTTTGATTAATTAAGTAGTAGCCGTTGATTTGCTTACCGAATAATTTTTTTGCAAGTTACTGAAAACATTTTTTTATCATTATTGAGTTTAATGAATTCAACTGGTTCTTGACTTTTAGTTCAAATTGAAACATGACCATAATTTTTTTTCACATTTCACCAATTTTTGTCTCAGTATTTATTTTTTATTGATTTTTCCTACCTAGTGTTTTTAAATAATTTATTTATAAATGCTCAAGTTGTGTTAAGTTGTAGTATTAAGATGTGACAAGTTTTTTATTATAATATATGTGCACTTTTTTCCCCTTGTATTTGATAGACTTCTTTTTAAATCCTTGTCTGCAATTATTACTTAAAAGTGTAGTTTAGAATTACGGGTAATATTTTAAAACAGTTTTTTTTTTTTTAATTTTTATTGACAGCTATTTTTAGTATATGCTTGACATAGCTATTTAAAATTAAACAATTATCCTTTCAACCACATTTTCTTTTTTTTGAACCCTCAATTTTTCAATGTCAATTTAAAAAAAAAAATATTAAATTTAGCAATTAAAGTCTTTAATACCTAAAAATATTATTTGAAAATAAATTATCTTTAAATAGATTCTCTTTGTTATTAATTTGCCAATTTTTTCTTTTACATTTTTTGAAAAACTGTAGAAACCTTGACAATGTTTTGTTTCCTTTTTTTTAAAATTTTATGTTAAAAACTCATATTCATTTTTTTTATTTAATTCCATATTTTTTATTAATGTGGATATAATTATTTTGAATTTCTTTCATCGTATTTTTGTTTAAATTTTTTTTCCTCAGTATTGTTTTTTTACAAACTAATTTTTATTTTTAAGTATTATAAGTTGTAGTGATTTACATATTGAGTGTATACTATATATGCTCATAACTACATGGTTAAGTTCACTAAGGTGTGAAGTTCTGTTGTGGTTCTTACAAATATTGTCCATAAGTAAATGTGTGTATATGATTGTAATAAGCTTTTTTATTTCTTTTAAAAAATCCACAGTGTTAAACATGCTGGCGATTTAAATTTTAAGTGTATTATTTGTGTACTTTTCTATAATTGCGAAATTGATTAACTTAAAGAAGGATACCATTTGTGCAGATATAAATAAAATATATCTTCATTTATTAAGATTTGTTTCTGTTTCTGCCTTATGATATTTACATAAATAATAATATATTTGGCAACTTGTGTGGTTTTTAACACATGGGTATTCTTAATTTAATTTTGAATCCAGAAAACAAGGTAACTTCTGCATACCCTCCAACTGCTACGGAATTTCCGTAGTTTCAGAAATCTTCTTTTCAGACGGTAGCAAAATTAATGTCTTAATATTTAAAAAAATTTAATTTTAGCGTAACTTGTCCACTATTACTTATAAAAGTGCAGGCCATATAGCTAGATTCTTAAGTTCTGATAAAAGTTTTATGAGAGATCCATTTGCTTTAAAAATTTCTACTTTGGTTCGCTACCACTAGAAAGAATTATTTTCAAAATCCTCATAAGTTGGAGGGTATACTTCTGGATCAAACGTTGGGACAAACTAGACCTCGTGGAGGACTTTTTGATGGAACTAGCCTGCATTTGTGTTACATGGAGACTAAAACCTCCTTTGGTTAGTCCGACAACCATGGGATTTTAACCCATGTTTTGCCTGCACTGTGGTAGGTGCAAGCTCGGATCAGAACTCAGATCAATTAGCCTTCTCTGGGATTCGAACCTGGTTCACCCTTATGGGAGGAAAAAGCTCTCCCCTGAGCCACTGCAGCATTGAGAAAGATTTGAAAGCATTAGAGTGACTAACATCATGATGTTATGATGCATGATTAGAAACATCATGCATCAGATGGAAAAATAAAAACTGGTTGGGTCATCTCTGGCCTGATCTAGACTGTAGTGCAAGAAGAATATTGCAGTATAAATGTTACTAATGAATAATTTATTAATCCTTAGAAATGAAATAGTCTCTTATCTTTACATATGTGGAAATTCATAAAATTCTAAGTCATGGTGCTTTGATCTTAAATTAAAATACCATTAATTTGTACTTTGCAGATAAATAAAATAACAACCAAAATAAAGAACATTAAGTGGATTCAATATAGGGTTTAATATTACAGGAACAGAAAACAGATTTGACTGAGTAAGAGAAAACCGTTCCTCTTCTATCCTCTCCATTGCAAACCATGCTATGCATGAATAAATATGGGTATTCACCTGCACGATGAATGTGCCTTTAGTATCAAATTTAGAAGTAGAAATATTTTTCTTTTTTTTTTTAAATGAAGAAAAAAAATATTTTAAGTTTGATTTGTAACATTTTGATTCTCAATCTACTAAAATTTCTTTACTCGTTATCATTTTATTTAAATCTGTGGTAACAAAACAATCTGCAGAGCTCGCATCCATGCAGAAGTGCATCTTCTATCAATGGGGTAAAAATTGCCATAATCATATTCAACCATAGTTTTTAATCGTTAACAAGACATTCTGTTGATTTTTTTTGTCTTAAAATTTAAGTTTATAGATGTAACGATTAATGATAAAATCGTATACTTTAAAATGTGTAGCTAAAATTATATATTTTGACCTAATTTTTGATCATGTGATAATAAAACAATTAGAGATTACTTTTTATCGCTGAACTCCTTAAAGATTAACGATAGCAAAGCTTTTGTATTTATTATTTTTGTTTAGACATTTTTGCATCAAATGTTGCATTGAAATCGTCGTAAGTCATTGTAAACAGATTTTTTTTAATGAAATATATTCTAGAATTCAACATTATCTAACAATACAAGTGTATTTGTAAAAACAGGGATAAAAAAAAAAAACTGAGGTCAAAAAGTCATCATTATCAGTTAAATAAAGCAAAAACTTTTTTTTAAAATTGAAAACGCTTCATCACCGATAAAATTTATTCTTCGAAATTAACAAGTTAATTTTTTGCAGTGTGGTTGGAATGCATTACAATCTTAAATATTAACTGTTAATAATGTAACAGTAAATGAATTGATTGTTCGTAAAATAATTTTTTAATGAACGATTATTTTCTTAC